GGATTGGTTTCTTCTTTAAATGATAAAAAAGTAAAAATATGAATAGTATTATAATGTTATACTAAAACTCAAATTAAAATAATGGGAAAAACCCTTAAGATAACAAGATAACAAAAACGCATCTTAAGCACGCGGAATAACATAAGTGGACTTTGAATGATTAATTGCCGCTTTGAACGATTACGTAATTGTGGCATCCATAATTGTAATCGCGATTAGAAATTCGATTAATTGTGCAGCCCTAACATAACGTATGCAGAATATATTTTTGCTCCTTTTGAGTCGGAGCGACAGTCAGGAACGTCCAAAAGTGAGTTTTGATTGAGTAACTTGTAGATATGTGCTGATCGAGCCACAAACTGTTTCAGATGGTTCAGTCCGATTTGGTGAACCGGTTGAACTAGTTCACCAAAAAGAACCGGTCAAAACAAAAGAATGATTCGATCGTTTGCCTGAGGCTCTGAATTACAGAGAATAATGTTGGAAATAATGTTCGGTTTCTTGCACAGACTGATCGTTTCTCTTCATAAGACCTCTATATATCGTCAGGAGCCACGGGTATTCATTTTGTGTTACCTGATATGCTTCTTTTTTTTTATTTTTATTTTTTAATGAATAACCAAGGCCCATAGTTTCTGCTAAACAGCTTCTTTACTGTTCAACCTACATTTTTGATAGCCTGAGGGTGAGTAAATTAACAGCAAATTTAAATTTTTAGATGAACTGTCCCTTTAAGGCTGCTGCTGGAGAAGATGCACAAACACACCTGCCCGGCAAAGATCCCACAAACTCCTATGATGCAGAGAATATTGAAGACGGCAGAACCGACGATCGTTCCGACTCCAACATCACTGTGAGTGATGAAGACACCTGAAAACAGACACAGTAAGCAAAAGCGCTACACAAAAAGAGCAGAAACGACGATTGTGTGACTTCACCTATAACAGAAGCGAAGAGTTCGGGCGCTGAGCTCCCCGCCGCCATGAACGTGGCTCCAGCTACATCCTCGCTCAGATTCAGCTTCTGCACAACACAATAACAGCAGACCATTCACATGCAACAAAGCCTCTGGCACAAACACCGCCCAAATCTGGAGCACTATGTTTTATGAGCTTCTGAAAGCCTCAAAGTGGGTCAGAGGAAGAACAGCGCAGGTTCTGCTGCTCTCATTGTGCCGCGATATTACTCAGATCAACTGGGAATTTGCTTCTGAGCAATCCTACCTCACAGATTTTCTCAAGAGACATCACGAAGTAGTCGTCACACACGATTGCCAGAGCCAGGAACATGTAGAGAGCCTGTAAGAAGACGAGAGAACACTGTAGAAACGAATTCCAACTCTTTAATATCTCACTTATTTCTCCTTAATGAGGTACACTGGGACACACATGGAGACTTTTAATTAAGTCTCCTGCTGCTTAGATGTTAACTGAGCTCAGAGTTGCTAATATACCATAGTCTGCGATCAAAAGTCAGAGATTTCAATATGAAGTCAAACATTTCTCATCAAATACTCCTGGATCAAATGATCAGTTATGCTATCCACATTCATTTTTAGCTCTGTAATTTTAGGCCCAAAATTGACTCTACTCAAATATGTGAATGCTAATGTTATTAGCTACACACATTGGATTTTGCGTCAGATTTTAATGCAATTTGCATTTACTTTTAATCAGAAAACACGTTATGCAAATTGACTTAAAATGAGGAAAATGACAGTCAATTTATAAAGTCAAAACCACAGTACCACAAAGCTAAGCTATGGGAAAGCAGATGTATAAATGTTTTTAATTTTTACTATAATTTACTGACAGGAAGTTCCGTTCATTGTGGTTTAAGTGCATTGTGTTATGGCAGAGCAAGTTAGTTAAAACTGGTTAAACTAACAATGTTTATCAGTGTTGTTACTGATACCAGTACTGATACTGAAAAGCCAACTACTAAAAATTGTTTTCATCTACTGAAATTAAGCCGAAATAACATTAAAATTACATGGAAAACTCAAACTTAAAAAATGTGGAAATACTGAATGTTAAAACATTAAACGTTGAAACATTTTAGCGTAATGTTAAACAAAAATTTGACATTTTGCCTTGGTAACTAACTGAAATAAGTTTAAGAACTAAAGGACTAGAACTAAAACTGAGATACAAAATAAATTTAAGATAAATACAAACAAGAATTTAAATTAAAAACATAGAAAATTGCTAAAACTAAAATTAAAATCAAAACTAAAATATAAAAGTAAAGGCTAATTCAAAATATTATTAAATACTATAAAAGTATACAAATAACAAATTTAGAATATAAATACTAAAATAACACCAATGTGTATAGCAATTTAGTATATTTTAGTTATTTTAGTTTAGTATTATAGTTTTTTATTTTTATATTTGTTTTGTTTTTAATTTTTGTTTTTAATTTTAGTTAAAGTTTTAGTAATATAGTTGTGTTTTTGTCCCTTTTATTAGTTTTTGTTTTTTAGTTTTGTTTTTTAATGCACACATTTGCGTTGTGGTACTCTTGTAAACAAAAATCACAAAAATACAACACAAAAGAAAACAAAAATAACAACTTAATTCAGGGTGAGTAATTAATGACAGTAAATAACTTACCCTATTAGTAATTAATCCCTTTTAAAAAATAACACATTTGATAGAAACTCTTCGCCCCCTAAAGTACTGAGGTTTGTTTCCACCACAAAAATGTAATAATGTGCAACAGGATTGCAAGCCTGTAACGCATGAACCAACTATTCACAGTATGTTTCTGACCTTACTGTATATCAACTACTGACCCAATGTGTCTCTATTCACGTCTCCTAAAACAAATACTTTCAGGAGAAGCACATGTGAAAAACCTCTAAAAACCCCTGAGAAATGAAAGCTTCCAGAAGCCTGCTGGTCCCGTTCACCTGCCGTTTATCATGGCTGTCAGCTCCAGAACTCTGTCTCTCCTCCACTGAAAATGTTTCCTCCTCTGCATGCACAATGTGCCCTTGCTCTCCAGGCCTGACTGGATTCTATCTCTCCAAACAATTCACATCTGCATTCACTGCAAAGCCTTTCCTCGTCTAGCTTAATGAGCCACCAACTCAATACAAGCTCCTGTTTATTCACAATTTGAAACCAAAGCAAATGCAAGCAAGCATTATGATGACCTTCAGCGATGAGGACGATGACAGCATCATAACATAGCTCACGTTTGTTTACTTAGAAAGGTGATTTGCACCTAAAACAGCTGTAGTTTCGTTTTTCCACCCTTATAATTAAATATAATATAATAAATATAGTATAATTGACCTGTAAGATGTATATACTGTATGTGATGACCTCTAATGATTGACAAATGGGAAATAATAGATTAGATAGAGATCTACATAACTGTCAAAAATAAAATTTTGTTGACTTACTAGAGATACATAGAGCATTTGTATCTCTCTTTTTATGACTCCATAAATCAGAAAATACTGTCAACAGCCAGAAAGGGGGAAAAAAAACTTTTCACCAAATTTTTGGGAATAAAATGTTACATAAATCAGACGCACAGCAAATAATGATTTTCTTACTTAGTAGTTTTGCCTTGTTTTCCATTACAAATATCTAAACATTCTTGAATCAAGATGCATTTACTTGAGAAGCAGAATGACTTCAAATTGAAGCGCTACGGAATGCAAGAGCAAAGTCCAAATCTTCAGTTCTCATTCTGCTAGATCTATCTGCTGCATTCAACACTGTTAATCATCAAATCCTTCTGTCTACCCTCTCATCGCTGGGCATCAATGGAACTAAACTCCACTGGTTTGAGTCTTACCTCACAGGTAAGACCTTCAGGGTGGCTTGGGGAGGAGAGGTATCTAAATCACATCAACTGGTCACTGGGGTTCCTCAGGGATCAGTTCTTGGACCCCTCCACTTATCTATATACACTACATCACTGGGACCCATCATTCAGGCATATGGTTTTTACTATCATTGCTATGCTGATAACACGCAGCTCTACCTCTCATTTCAACCAGATGATCCAACGGTACCTGCTCGGATCTCAGACTGCCTGATGGACATCTCAGCATGGATGAAAGATCATCACCTGCAGCTCAATCTGGCAAACACAGAGCTTCTCATCTTCCCAGCCACCCCATCAGTACAGCACCAGTTTACCATTTAATTGGAATCCCATCATGTTCGGCCAGGAATCTTGGGGTGATCCTTGATGATCAGCTTAAAGATCATACTGCAAAAACAGCATGATCATGCAGCTTCACACTACACAAAACCAGGAAGATCAGACCCTTCCTAACAGAGCATGCAACACAGCTTCTTGTCCAAGCTCTTGTCATTTCTAGGCTGGACTATTGTAATGCTCTTCTGGCTGGACTTTCAACATTTGCAATCAGACTTGTGCAAATGATTCAGAATGCAGCAACACATCTTGTTTTCAAAGAGCCCAGGAGAGCCCATGTCACACCGCTACTCATCTCTCTGCACTGGCTTACAGTTGTGGCTCGCATCAAGTTCAAGACATTGGTGCTTGCCTATAGAACACCCATGGCCTCCGTACCCTCCTACCTCCGCTCTCTCCTATGCATCTACATCCCCTCCAGAAGCCTGCGGTCAGTAAATTAGCGGCAGCCAGTGGTCCCATCGCAGAGAGGCACAAAATCACTCTTAAGGACGTTTTCTTTCACCATACCCTATTGGTGGAATAACTTACCTAACTCCATCAGGGAAAAAAATTTTTTATGCCTTCACTTTTTCTATTCTCTTATACTTTATCCCTTCCTGTCCTAGCTTTTACTATTTTGAACGATGACTGAAACCTTGTATAACGAGCACTTCTCATGTTTATTGCCATCTTATGATAGATACATCACTTGTTTACTTGTGTTCACTTGTGTACATCAAATGTATCAAAATAATTGAGTTTTTTTTTTTTTATGACAAAATTATCTGCCAATGGGGTCAGAAAAATAATCATGTTTTCTCTTTGAATTAAGATTATTTTTCTGACCCCATTAGAAGATATTTTTTCTTGTTTTAAGCAAATTTTTCAGAAAACAAGCCTTAATATCTTAAGTCATTCAATTAAAAGTATCTCGAGTCAAGAATGTTTTGATATTTGAACTGGAAAACACGACAAAAACAGTAAGTAAGAATTGAAAATAATTTTTAGCAGTGCAAATGATACATTAAAAAAAACTTCAGAATACAGACAGGAATAAAACTAAACATTTGGTGAACATAAGTGCAGCTGAAGTGGAAATGTATGACTCATTTTGAGAAAACAGCCTTGAAAAATATGTATTATAAACTGAAATACAGATGCAAATTGATCAAGGGTAATAAAATAACACATAAATGTGTATTTTGGATATTTTCTTTCCACTAATCTGAAGAAATACAAGTGATAGAAGCAAAATAACCCAAAATCTCAAAAGTGCCCATTGCATGGTTTTGCCTGTAGTGTCTTGCTTTAAAACAAGTAGGCCTAAATAAGCCACAATAATCAACATATAAACAACAAATGTGCCAATAAAACTTACTAGCATCCATCATTTGATTTGTAGGCTTTGCACAGACATTTTACAGACCGTTTAATCATAAAAAGCATCAATTCCCTTCATGAGCAATAACTTTACAGTAACAAACAGATTAAATTATAGTTCATCATTCCAGACAGATATTTCCATGATCATTTCTAGCCACAGGGGGCACCAAAGGACAGAAATCCCACACACGGGACACATCGTGATTGTTTGTGTGAATGCATAATTCAGACCTGAGCTGTGCGTGATGCAAACATTAGAGCATTAGAGCGGCTGCATTACATAACCACGGGCAGATTCTAATTGTGCTGCTCATGGCTGATGGAGTTAAATCTTGTCATATTAGCAGTGGATTAACCCACACTGAAAACAGCAGAGACGCACGCTATTAAATCACAACAGGCAGCAGGAGTGAATGCACATCATTACAGTGACCAAATTCACTCTTTTATGCCTTTACAAAACTTCTGTGCAAAAATAACCCAGATAAAATTTCCCACAAACTTGCAGTGATGCAATTTTCTAAATGTACTTTGCTAATCTAAGGAAAGAGAGAGAGATAAATGGACTTTCTTACCGCTATAATATGCAGCAGTACAGCACCGCTCTTCCGCTCAGCATTGGTGAAAATATCATCTGGAAATTCACGGATGGCTGTAAAAAGCACAAACACACATTTACAGTCATGCATTTCATCCAAAGCAATTTACAGTGGATTCTGCAAAAATATCCTATTTTTGTCTTTTTCCCTTTAGAAATATCTATGAATTCTATAATCAAGATACATTTACTTGAGATGCAAAATTACTTAAGATATTAAGTTTTGTTGTCTAAAAAATTGGGGTCAGAAAAATAATCTTGTTTTCTCTCTCAATTAAAAGGATAGTTGACTAAATAATTATCCTGTCATCATTTTTCTCACCCTCAAGTTTTTCTAAACGTTAGGGTTAGGGTTAGGGTTATTTCTTTCACAAAAGACGAAATTTTGAAGAATGTTGGTAACCAAGCAGTTTCTGGTAGTCATTGACTTCCATAGTAGGGGAAAAAATACTATGTAAGTCAATGGCTACCAGCAACTGATTCAACAGAATAAAGAAACTCATACAGGTTTAGAACAACCTAAATGACATGCAGAATGACATTTTTGTGTGAACTATCCCTTTAAGTTTATTTTTCTGACCCCACCAACAGATTTTTTGTTTTTTTGTTTTAAGCATACTGTAAATTCTGATACATTTTTCAGAAAACAAGACTTAATATCTTCTATCATTTTGCTTCTCAAGTAACTGTATCTGGTTTAAGAGTGTTTAGACATTTGCAATGAAAAACGAGACAAAAATACAGAGTAATGAAATCATTTTTTGAAGTGAAACAACATTCTGAGTTTCCCTACGAAACAAACCCATGAGTTTGCAGGAAAGATGTTACCGTGTGGTTGCTAAGATGTTCTGAATTGTTTTTAGAATGTTGCTTTGCGGTTGCTAGGGTGTTGCTATGCAGTTGTTAAATGTTTTTGAGTGTTGTTAAAAATGTTGCTATGCATTTGCTGGGGTGTTCTGGAAGGTTGCAAGGGTGTTGCTGTGTGGTTGCTAAGATGTTTTGTGTTGTTTTTAGAATGTTGCTTTGCGGTTGCTAAGGCGTTGCTATTCCTATGCGGTTTCTTAGGTGTTTGCTTAACAAATTCTTTGACCTTTATCTTGGAGAGAAGAGGTGACATGTTTTCTGACAGATTACAGTCTGATTCTAAGACCACCACAATGTCCTTAGAAGCATAAAATACTCCTTGGTGATCATAAACACACACACCGTCAGTTAACATAACTCAGTCTGATAACGTTTCCTCGTGTCTGCTCATACTAGGAGGTCACATCAAATTTGAGCCCTTTACGTGATCTGAATACAATGACGGAAACTTAAAACAGCCAAATTACACGTTCTGATTATAGATTCTTCATAACCATCACAATCATCCAAAACAGAAAGCAGGAGTGTAGAGCAGCACATAACACACTATAAAAAATGCTGGGTTAAATACAACCCAGTGCTGGGTAAAATACAGCACTGGGTTGTATTTAACCCAGCATTTTTTAGAGTGCAGCTTGAGGAATGAAAAAAGATACACGAGGAATGAAACCAACACAAATGGCAGAAGAAACTACAACAGACTGATGGTTGGGTTAAATGTTTAGCCCAAACCACTGGGTCAAAACAGCCCAATTGCTGGGTTTGTCCCTATTTTTTTAGAGTGTATATTCTGTATTTTCAGTTATTGTACTTTATGAAATCGATAGCTATAAAACATGACACAATGAGCAAGATGTCTGTTCAAAGCCACCGTATGTATATATATATACAGTGGGTACGGCTGCAATATAACAAAGAGTGAAAAATTTAAGGGGGTCTGAATACTTTCCGTACCCACTGTATATATATATATACTGTATATATATTATATCAGAGTAAAGCAATAAGCTAAAAGAAGTGTAATGCATTAGAACAATAAATAATAAAATTTATTAATTCATATTTGGTATAATCATCTCTTAATACAAGAAAAGCTAATTTGCATAATATATTAAGACATAAGATATCTTTTAAGCATAAATGTAAATGCAAAACTATGTTGTTTCTGTAATTTGTAATTTTTTTAACTCATAATTCTGCATTTATATTTATATGCATTTTCTCAAAATTGCAAGATATAAACTCAGAATTACAAGATATAAACTCGCAATTGCAAGAAAAAGTCAGAATTGTGAAATAAAGTTGCAATTACCTTTTTTATTTTTTGGCGGGAAAAAAAACAGAATTGCGAGAAAGTAAGTCAAAATTCTGAGTTTATTTCACAATTTGAGAAAAAGTCTGAATTGTGAGATAAAAAGTCACAATAAAAAATTTTCCATGGCAAAAAAATGTGCTTCCATACAAAACAAAGATTTTTAGGCTTAAAACAAGAAGAAACAAATATATATATAATTCATTTTCTGAAAAGTCCCAATTTCTTGTTTAGATATTTTTACTTGAAAACAAGAGAAAAACATGCGTGAACTTGAAGCATTAATAGAATGTGTGTTGTACTATAAATTTAATCAAAATTCAGAAAAGACAGCGTATTTCATTTCATTCATCGTCAAGTGCGCTCGTTCCTGTTGTTCCTGTTGTGTCGTCAATCTGGCAACCTGCGTGTGCGTCAAGTCTGAGGAGGAGGGGCCGGG